CTTGATGAGTCTTACTCTGGTATTTTTAAAGAGATTGAATGCTCGTGTGGCCTCGACCCACATTGTTTCATCAAACGGGAATTTAGTTCGAGCTAGCGATGGGAGTCTGTGCAAGTCGCCGTTGGCCTTCGTTGACACAGTTTTATGAGTTCGATACTCCAGAGGTGGTTCTTGGGGATGGAACTTGCTCGCGAGTATTTCGTGCGCGAGAGCGTGCTAGTGGTGGATTAGTTGCTATCAAACGTTTGGACAAAGCGAAGCAGCAGCTGATCAATGAAGATCCTGTCCAGTGGGAGCGTGAGGTGGCGTTATTACGTCGTTGTGCTTCTCACCCGAATGTGGTAGCACTACACGATGTAATGGAGACACGTGAGTTCGTATACATCGTCATGGAGCTTGCAGAGGGTGGGGAACTCTTCCAGGCTCTAATTGATGAAGGAGCGTACTCGGAATGGGACGCTCGACGTTTCATTGCAGACCTTCTTGAAGCATTACGCTTTCTCCACGAGCTTGGCATTGCGCACAGGTAGGCAGAATCTTTAAACGGGCTGTCCGTAGTGCTTCTCACTGCCTTGTTGATCCAGAGACGTCAAGCCGGAAAACTTACTGCTAACATCAACGAGTCCAAAGCTTGCAAGCATTAAACTGGCAGATTTTGGTCTTGCAGCACTCGTCGAAGAGAGTAGTTTGCTTTCCAATGGTCGGATGACCTGGGCCTACTGCGCACCCGAGGTCTTCAAAGCAGCACAATTATCCGAGTCTCCAGACGATATGGAAGCCTCAATGCCCAAGCCAGCGCGAAGCTCCCAAGTTGGTGTCCAGAGTGATGTATGGAGCGTGGGCATCGTGCTCTACGTGCTGCTAAGCGGAGTTCATCCATTCGATCCCGATGGCCGACAGACTCGAGACCAAATGATAAGCAACATCCAATCTGGACAGTTTTCCATGACTGGACCTCGTTGGGAAGCCATCTCGAGCGAGGCTAAAGATTTGATCTCGGCGCTGCTTCATGTAGACCCTGGAGCGCGATCTACTGCTGCTAAAGCACTCAGCCATGAATGGTTCAAGGCACAACGCACGTCGCGCCAATCTTTGGCTGTCTCGACTGACGACACGAATAACCTCCAGCAGTATCGCCACCTCATGCGTCGCAAATTTCGGGTACGTCTATCGATCACAGTATTTTCCGTTTGTACTTGGTTTTGAGCTGACGTGCTTCCTCCAATATACTTGCTGATAGACGAGTGTTATAGCTGCAGTTGCCGCAGATACACTCCGTCGCAGTCTAAAGAAAAGCCGTCACTCTACTGGATCGGTAGCTGGTAATGAAACAACCGAAATCGCCCCAGTTCCATCTCCTGGTGGTGAGATTTCACCATGTCAGTCTTCGCCTGCTAGCACTTCAGCTGCGGTTGTTGCTGTCACCGGTGAAACGAGTGATGCATGTCCACCAGTGGCTACTCATTCCGTGCTGAAGCATATATTCCACCACGATTCCCAGGAAGATAGCGGTTCATTCGAAGTAATGGCAGCGGCTGCGACAGATGCAGATGTGAACGACATCACAATTAATGTCTAAAATAAATCTTCAGCCTACCTATTAGCGATGTAGCTTCATGTCATCGAAGAACCCAGGCCTCGCGATCCGTACTCCTCCATGGTTTCCACTCGCAGTCCCTCGCATCGATCCGGTACCACCCTCGCCAGCGACACCATCGACCAGGTCCCAATAAGCCCCTCGGACACTTTGTGGTGGGTTTTCATCCATACCACCAGGTTTAATGACTCCACCTGCTTCGACGTGGATGCTCTTCACGTTCACAAGGTTTGAGTTAACGTAGCTAGACCCTCCACCACCTCCGCCAACAATTCCGGGTGAAAATCCTCCCCCACCGCCTCCAAAAATTCCTCCTCCTCCGCCTCCTCCAAACTCAGCGCCATCTCCACCCTGCATTGAAGTGCCATTCGTACCAACAAATTTGCATATAGGGTTGAACTCATCGCATTTCCCAGCAGATCCACCCGCAACGTCTCCACCTGGACGACCACAACGAACGTCGTCACCTTCTTGGGGTTTTCTGGCTTTGCAAGCTCCCCCTCCCCCTCCATTCCTGCATGTTCCGCCACCACCTCCACCTGCAGCGATTAAGATGTACTCGATTCCGTACGCACCTTGACGATAAATACTCGTAAAGCCTCCGCCCCCTCCACATGCAGATTCCTTGTTACCACTGTGTCCTTGTCCGCCACCAGGAAGCCCCCCTTTCGCTGTAGATACTTGCGTGGTGACGAGAACACCGCCAGGTATCTTTATGGTTTTGTTTTCAGCCCCCGCATCGTAATTCTCTTCATCTGGATTCTCAACCATTCGAGCAAATTTACCTCCACTACCTCCTGCTCCAACCGAGAAATAGAGGGTTTCACCAGGAAACACCGGGCATATCCCCTCAACAAACGCGCCGCCGCCGCCGTGGCCTACTGTTTGGCCACGCAAAAGTCCACTACCCCCACCAGCGCCCCAAGCCTGGAATTTCAAGAGCTTCACATCGCGTGGCACTTTGTACTCATGCACCTCGGCAGTCACGAAGCTTAGAATTCCAGACGATAGTAGATGAACGCGACGATGAGCGTTTCGATCTTTCGCAAGAATCACAGCATTGCATTTTGGCCATGTACATATCACCTTGCGCAGGTCACAATCGTCAAGTTCGTGGGCAAGTCGCGTTTGTTCCAGTGCCAACAATTCATGAGCCCCTCCTTGATATACCTGACCACACCCCAATCGACATCGTAAATCTCCAACTGGCCTCCTAACACACAGATCCCGCATATGTGGCACCGCTAGATCAAAGTGTGGTAACCAAATGCCACACTCTCGTGGACAATACACTATGCGACTTGAGCATTTCTCTTCTTCCTCAGACTCGTGATCGTATATAACCTCACGCCACTGCCGTCGTTCCATGACCACATTGCAACCCAGACGGCATATCATGAGCCTTCTCGGACACTCGACACGCTCGTGTTCTTCAAGACTAAATTCACGTGGAAGCCACAGCTCGCAGCCCCATCGACAGGGCGCTCGACCCAAACGGAATCGCTCTTCGGTCCGCGTCAAAATACGACAAACCCGACGGCGCTCTCTAATCGCGGGTTTGGCGTTAGTATCCTCTTGTTTTGCGTTTTCAAGCTCTTCTTCATTTAGATCATGCTCTATCTCTTCGCATCGTTCGATTTCGCGCCGCGGGTCCTTCCGTGCTGGATCAATTGAGGTTAGTAGGTGATTCTCTCGAGCCTTCAGAAACACTTCACGCTCACGGCGGAACCGAGCATCAATGTACGCCAGACTCCTGCCCTTTGTATTCGTCCTCCTCTTGCTTTTCTTTATTTCCTTGGTGTTATTGCCAGTCTCCATTTCGGCGCGGGTATCGTCGTCACCATCAATCGTCAAGTGTTCACCCGTGACACTGCTTTCCAGTTGGCGCAGAGCATTCTCCAGCTCCTCCTTCTCTCGCTTTTGCTGCTCCGTTGCCATATTGTTCCTCTCTTCTGCAGTTTTAAGACTTTCTTCGTGTCTCCGTGCTCGTTGCAATGCTGATTTCCATTCTTGCTCCTCCTTCCGGCGCCGTAATTCCTCAGTTGTAAGAGCAAACCTTGCCTGGCGTTTCGGACGTCGAATTTCGTGTATAAATGTTTTTGTAGCGAAGGTGTCGTGCACGCAGTCTCCTGAAAGTTCATTGAAATAAAAAGTGTGGGATGTCTGCGGATCGTAGTAGCGATGCCAACCGCGATCATGCGGTTCGATCTCTTCGCTACGCTCATAAATAAGCGCATGAGCATAGCGGTAACCTTCGTGCAAAATAACTTCATCGGGTTTTTCCACGACAACTCGGTGATCGAGAGCGTGCAAGTAAAACGTGACACCACCAAAACCCTGACATTCACGCCAGTTGCCAAGCGTTCGACCTTTTACAGCATTATCCACAATTGCCGCTGATGCAATCCCGGAAAACTGAACAACAAGACTGGCCTGGTCTAGTTCGTCTTCAAGCTGCTCTGCGTTCTCGAAGAAGCGCTTTGTACGCCATTCTCGAACTGGCAAACCATCAGGTGAAATCCACTGACAATGCTCCGTCTCGCGATTGAAAAAGAAGTACACGTCCGTCCCATTTACTCGGTGAAGTTCCCACTCTGGACGCAAACGATGACGCTCAACGAAGCGAGCATTCGTCTCCATCTTTTCTTTCCAGCCCAGCCGAGCCCGACCTTCTTCTACTAGTTGGGCAGGCACTTGTCGCTGGACAAAACCACTGCGAGTGTTTTCAAACAGACGATTATGGCTTTGAGGTTCCTCGTAGGTATCCCAACCTTTGCCACGAGCCACAGGTGTGCCGTCGTTCTCCTTTACCAGCTTGCGCATGCGGTTCAGAGTATCCAAATCGTTGAAATTATGGGCTAGTCGATTAACCTCGTCTTGCCAAACTCTGCGTCGGTGGGCGACTCGTTCCTCTTCAAGACGAAGCTCCTTCACTCGTACACGCTCAACTCGCTTCTGTAATATCTCTTCCTCAAGGTTTGCGTCACCTTTTGGACTGCCAGGCCGACCTCGACACGCTAACAGAAGCTGAAGAGGGGTCTTGCTGCTGTGGTCTTGTAGAAAGGGACTACAACCATGCTTTTCTGCTAGGCATTGGATCACTCTTTCGTGAGTACACACCAGATTTTCATCACACGCTACGTGCAGTGCGGTGCGACCCTGAAGATTAGGCAGGTGCTTGTACATTTCACGCAGATACGTGTCCAAAAAGAAGCTCATCTCTGACAGTGAAAGCCAATCTGCCGGATCGCCTTCCTTGCGACGTCTTGCTAGTTCATCATCTGTACCTCCTTCTTCCTCCTCTCTCTCGTTGCCGCTATTGGCAGCAAGTTCGTCATGAATGCCACGTTTCGGGAGCTTTTTGTGAAAGCGCGACACAAGATAGTCCATGAAAGATTTTTGTGGTGCTGGCATCTTACAGATTCGGGTGTTATCACCCCCATTCCCGAATAACTTGTTATGCAGCCATTGTACAGATTCAAACAGCCACGATAAATGATAGCGGCGACGTTCGTTGTCTCGTAACTTGCTCTTCATAATGATCTCGTACGTCTTTTGCAGCAAGTGCTCATAGCATTCGCCACACCGCTGCGGTAGATTCGTGATAAATAACCGAAAAGAGTCATCATGTGCACGTAACAGTTGGGAAGCTATCGTGGAACTGCCACTGAATGCAGCCAAATGTAGTCCTGAGTTTTTTAATTTATCCAGCTGGAATATGTCAGCTCCGTGGTCCAGCATTAACGCAGTTATTTCGCTGTGACCGCACATTGCAGCGACCATCAGGGGTGTGCGATGGAAAGAATCCAGATCATCAACTTGAGCGCCTCGCTGAAGAAGCAGCTTCGCGATAGAATGATAGCCATGTTTGCTAGCAATATGCAGAGGAGATTGCATCAACTTTGTGTTCACATCCAATTGAAGAGCGTTCACATCTTGACCACCAAACACAAAGAGTTCAACCTCGTGTAGAATACCCTCCTCCAGTACCCGCAAGAAAGAATATGGTTTCAACGCTGCTGTACGAGGGGACTCAGCACCGTTGCTGTAGCGATCATCACGATTTTTGACAACGTGGAGCAGTCGCTGAGCAAACATCGGACTTTTATCCGGCATGAATCCTTGTGACACAAGTTCGATCAGTACAACATTGCCATCAATTCCCCGCGCAAGCTCCTGCTGGCACCAGTGAGCCCATTGTGGGTGTAACACTTGCACCGAAGGTGATGGCATTTTCTCCACTGCAGCAAAACTGCACGCTGTACGTGATGACTTGACCGGTAACCCTGAGCGAAAGGTCTCATTGTTGTCAGGGCCTCCAGAGCTGTCGATTGCTGCGCCGTAAATGCTAGTGGGTGCATTGCGCTGCAGTTGCAATCAGGACACGTCAGCTCAGCTAGAGTGGATACCGCCCAGAAACCCCTTACCTACCCATTCCATGCCTACCTTGGTCCGCAGTCGATATGACGAGGCTCTGGTCGATATCTCCTGCATCAAGGGCAAATTCCCCGTCAGCAAAAACCCTTTCTGTGTCAGTGTTTGCATCAGTTTCTTGACACTCGCTCCTCTCTCAATATTGGCGACGAGCCAATTCTCCCACTGCTTCGGTAACTCCCCAGGCTGTACGGCAAGTCCTGGTTGAAGATTCTTAATCTTCACTAGTGCAGCTTCAGCAGCTTTAAACTTGGCTTCTCGCGTTGTTTTGCCCATGGCGCTCACGGATTCTCGACCCGTCGGGCCACACACTTTGCCCACGAGCTCCAGTTGCATTTGAAGGAACTCCGACGGCTCGCTATTCGGTGCTACGTCATCAGCACCATCCTCTACTAACTTATACACGACTTGTAACCCAAACTTGGCCGCCTCACGCTCCAGCAGCGCGACGGGCGTAGTGTCCAGGGCCTCCATGAACTTCCTGAGTGCCGCAAGCTTCGTATCGCCTCGCTGGAGCCGCACGATCATTTGCACGAGCTCCGCGAAGTCCAACAGCCCGTCGCCGTTAACATCGATGCTTGCCACAAGCGCGTCAGCCTCCGCAGCGCTGATCTGTTGTCCCATGCGTGTCAGCAGCGCGCGGAACTCCCGCTCGTCAATAGAGCCGCTGCCGTCAGCGTCGCTAATGCGAAACTGCGTAGCGAGCTCTTCGGCTTGAGCCGGCGTGAAGAAAGAGCGATATTCGTCCGGGATCTCATAGGAAAGAGAGGAGGCGAGCGCTGGGGTGCCGCTCATGGATGCGGTGTAGTGCGGACTTGGAGGTTGAAGCGACGCGGTGACCATCACTCTGCGCAACTTAAGTTCGCATTTGGCTCGTTAAGTTCGCTTTTTGGCGGGAAGTTTTATTTTGTAGCGATGGCGTTGAATGCGAAGGCTCGGGAGCTGCTGCGCGAGCTGCAGCGCAGCGATTGGTTGCCGCCGTATAATGTGAGTGGAGTTTAGGGATGGAAGAAGCAAGGTGTATGTGGGCATTGGTATTGATGACGGTCGGCGCTTGACGGTGTGCAGGAAGATCTTGTGCGGCAAGTGGTGGAGGAGTCGGGTGTGCTGGAGGAGGAGATCGCCCGGAAGATGGCGTACGTTATGCTGTTGGAATGAAGTAGCGAGAGTTTGTTGGAGAAAACTGACTTTTTTTCTCCTGCTTGGTGCGAGTACAGAACATTTGATGACAACTTGACCGAGAACACGTTTGTGGCGTGTGGCCTCGTCGTGAACCACCAGTGCCTGCTGCGCAACAAGCGCTGTCTTATCGCCTACGTGTATGAGACTTTGATACCCCAGTTGAAGTGGATGCAAACGTTGCTGAAGTCTCGGTTGAATTTATTCTTTCTTGCAGACATCACCGCATGGAGAAGATTAAGGCGCTGCGATGGGAAACGGGCACCATTATTCCTGCCCAACTAGCCCAGAAGTAAGCTCACTAAATGCGATACCTAGAGGTGTGGTGGGGATTTAGTTGTAAGCCACTGACCCATTGGCGTGCTGTAGCTTGTGCCAACGCGAGGTTCAGTTTTTCAATCAGTATGATCAGCTACTCACGGACTACATGGCCGAATTCGAGCTCGACCTCTCAGCGGTACGGCAACCTTTGCTTATGGGTTATTGCTGCTGTCGTTGCCGTGCTGATCTAGTGCATTGCTCGCGTCACCTCGCAGGATATGAAGCCGCCCAAGGACTTGTACGTGGAGGTGCGGGTGCTGCGGGACTGCGGCGAGGTCATGACCGAAAGCGGACTAGTGAATCTGGAGGCTCACTCACAGCACTTCCTGCGCCGCGTGGACGTAGAGCAGCTCATCCGCCAGGGACTACTGGAACAGATCAAGCGTTGATTCCGACTTCAATGGCTCTTTACATATCAGTCGCAGTCTTTCCGTCCATTTCATTCGCGCCCACTATGTCCAATATCGCCGGTAGGGCTAGGTCTTTCTGTCCAACCTTTACCGCTTATGACCAATCACAGCACTTTTAGAACAAGCATACAGCCTATCAGAGATCAACAGACGTACGTCAGTCTCAACAACGACAAACGCCACTTCGCAACGGATCGCCCAAGAGCTACACCTACACAGGTACAGTTTCCGGAGATGGCGAAGGAGGACGCTTCTAAACCTGCGTCGGGTAAGGATAAGCCTGCGAACCCGAAGAAGACCGCTAGCAAGAAAAGCTCCAGCTTTGTGTTTCCGATCGTCTCAGCTGCTGTCGTCGCAATCGCTGTGGGTTGCGCAACGTACGCGGATGTGCCGCTGAATGCCGATGGTCTGCAGAGTCTTGTGGACCAGATCTCGAACTTCGGAGGCAAACCAGGCCTCGTGGACTCGAGTACGGAGGATGTTCCTTACAAATACGAAACAGACATGGTGGCCTTGCAGGTTCGCCACCTCGTGAGCGAGCTCAAATGCAACGATTCCGACTACACAGCCACCACGCTCTTCGACGGCAAAGTGTTTCACGTCACGGAGCCAATGGAGGCTGAGAAACCCATGGCTAACGACCGAGTCTTCTTCATGCTCAATGGCGCCAATGATGGCGTGTACGTGTCCTGGAACGGTGACTTCGAGTGCGTGGGGAAGGCGGCCGAGGTGGCTGCAGCGTGGCTCGGAGCGGACCGAGACGTGATGGTGAACGGCGTGCGTCTGTATAATCAGATGGGCTGGCCCGTTCGCAACGAGAAGGAACTGCGTGAGACGAAGAGCATCGTTCACGTGTTGCTGGATTTCCAGTTGTGGCAGTGGCCGGGTATCAAGAAGGGTTACAAGTACGTGTTGGAAGATGGCGTGACGTTGACGACTGTGGGTATGAGTCCAAAGGTATTCGACGTCGAGTACTTTTTCAACCAAGAGGAGGCAGATAAGGTTATTGATATCGGATCACCGTTGTTGGACCGGTCAAAAGTCGACGGCAGCAACTCGTCCAAGGTTGTGACCAAGTCCCGCACGAGCCACACTGCCTTCTTGCCCGACAGTCTATTCACACGCGACTTCCAGAAGCGTTCGGCTCGTGTTGCGCGTCTGCCAAGTCCGTCCTATGTGGAGCGCATGCAGCTAGTGCGCTACGCTGCTGGTGAGTTCTACCGCCAGCACTTCGACACTTTCCACTCGCGTGAGTTCCTACCAAAGGGAGCTGATTCGTTCGAGTTTGAGGACTACGTGGAGTGGACCGAGTGGGCAGCTGAAAAACTTCGCGGTTTGGACCCGAGTAAGATACCTGAGGAGTTCCGTGAGGGTGGTCCGCTGTTCCCGAACGCTGAAGACCCTAAAACTTTCCCCAACGCACTGCTGGAAGTGTTCTACGACTACATGAACACGAGCAACAGATTCAAAGCTCTGTTCGATACTGATCAGGGTGCGTGGATCCGCACGAACCTGGACAACGGAGCCGAGAATCTGGTGAAGGATCTGATGGACGAGAAGAGGCGTCCGTCGTATCTGCCTCGTATCATCCAAACCTGGGAAGAAAAATTGGGTCTTGGTGAGCTACGCTACACGTTCCCCAAGCACGACACGAACTCCGTTTCGCACTTTTTCCAGTGGGTTCGCTGGGCCAAGGAACGCGTGAGTTACCTCGGAGATAAGGTGCCTGCCCATGCCCGTCCGGATGGAGATTTGTACCCGAGGTTTACCGTGGAGTTCCAGGAGAAGCTGGTAGGCTTCATCCTTGATGACTACACCAAGGGCTTTATCACGCGCTTGACCAACCCTGAATGGTACGACTGGATGGTGTTTAACCGCGGTCGCAACCACGTTCTCTTCCAGGTTATGCAGGCTTGGCCGCAGTTCGCAGAGTTGGCGATCCGTACATGGGAAGCACGCGTTGGCAACGTCCCGGAGCTGCGCTACAAGCTGCCCGAGTACGTCCAGCACTTCCATCCGCAGCGATTCGTCACGCTGTTCCTGTACTTGAACAACCAGACCAAGATCGGCGGCGAGACTGTGTTCCCGTTCTCGCAGGATCGATACTCGGACGAGAAGATCGTACGCGACGGTATGGATGAGTGCTCTTCCGGACTGGCAGTGCCCCCTCTTGGCTTGCACGCCTCTCTATTTTACGTTCAGACGCCGGAGGGAATTCCCGATGTTATGAGTCGTCACGGTGGATGCCCCCCTCACGAGGGCATCAAGTGGGGCGCTAACTCGTTCATGTGGGATTCGGATTCCGAGGAAGGTGCCGATCTATGGACTACCAAGTAGTTCACCTTGCATGAGTACATGCATGCACTTGGTTGCTCATGCAGTGTAGGGTTCAACTCATAACGAAAATGCAACCAGCTCTTTGTTTTTGAGGTAAAATAGTGATGTTGCAGTAGTGTTTATTTTTTGTAAAAACACGTTTTTACTGCTGGAAGTTCTCACGATTATCTCGTTTCTAAACGGTGTTTCATCCTCAACCCCATTCCAACTCTTCGCTAAATATGGCGGAGAAGAAGAAGGCACTCGATGCCAAGGCAGCGAGCAAGCCTCCAACCAGAGATCGTAGCTCCAGCTCCATCGCTTTGAAACTTCTACCTGTTGTGGTGGTCGTGCTTGCCATTGCTGGCAGGTGGCTCTTTCAACAGGGCGAGAATTTCGATGACGTGGCGCTGAACGTGCTGAGAGATACTGGACTGCTGTCTCGAGTACCTACAAAGGTCCTCGATACTCTTGGACTATTACCAGACAAGTA